TGTCGCCCCGGTCAATAACGACCTGAGTTAAGTGCTAACAAATGTGTCCTAGGACAGAGAGTAACTTTGTGGTATTATAATTGAAGGTGAGTTGCATTTATGAGATGTAAATTGCATAGCTATCATCCATTTTCCAATGTGACGACTATCCTATAACTAAGCCACTAATGGTGACCAGTGCGATGTAGTTTCACGGCAGAGTTATCTACAAAGTACCAATTTTATATAAAATGATCGTTTGAGTCGCCATCAATAGTGCAGTGAATGGAAGGTCTACGCGGTTATCAGGATAACCTAAGTACATTGAAACCTCCTTATGGATAATGGAAAGAAGAGCACTTAGGATGAAGCCATATATAATGCAAAATGGAGAGACGTGGGCTGTTGGCGTAGCTTTTTGCTTCATTGGTAAAGAGGGCAAGCGGAATGAATGCATAGAAAATCAGAACAGTTTGCCATAACGAGCATAGCATACAGAATTTAATTTGGGTACAAAACGATAAGAGAGAAGATTTGATGTTGGAGGACAGAGGCGAACCGAGAGGTGCGTGTATTGCCTTGTTTATGTGGTGACCTGATATAAGGCGTGGGCTTTTCTTCGCGCCAAGCCCAGGTCCAACCACTTCTTATTCTTCCAGATCACAAGTATTCAACCAAACCTAAAGCCTTTTCCTGCCTGGTAGGAAATCTCCATGCGTTACAGGATGCTCAACTGTTGGCTTAGGTATGCTCATAAGATCCACAGCTGAGAATTTGTGAGAGGATTTTTCGGCCCTCTCTTTGAATATGAGATTAAAAGGAACTCGATATGGCTAAGGAGGTACAATCGCAAATCCAAAGAACGGTTTTCACACACCGCAAGCACTGAAATCAGGCTGGCCTCCAGCCTATCCTCCGCAAAGCACGGTTTAAACAATCAACATGTAATCGAGGTGGTCTAGGATATCCGTTATTTCACATTAGCACGGCGGTCGACTACTGGGCCACATCAGCCACACCAAACAAGCATAATTGTTAAGTGCAGGTATTATGACCACTTGGACTGTCTTAGCATGGCACCTTGGTGGCAGCAGGAGGTCGCCCTGATCTTAAAGGGCAATTATACCCAATTTAACTGTTGAATGGTTGATTGTATCGACGGAGATATCAAGGAAAACTAATGCCTGAAGGACTGAAAAACCGCCCATCATAATTTAATTCGTCTTTTAGGCCAATCAGTCGGAGTCTGTAAAAGGAGATAAAGTGAAGGGAGGTATTTTACGCCAATATCTGCATTTCCGATATTGTGTAGAAAGAAATCCAAGTCCGACAGAATCACGGAGGGCAACTATGCTAAAATGCATGATATTGAATGGTTGGAAAAAGTGAACCATGCGTGTTTCCTTACAGAACCCAAGGGAGCATGTAACGCGGGAGGGAAGTTTCTTGACAAATTGTCCCCTTATTCAGCCCTTGAAGAGATGAAGGAGGCAGATCAGAATCTCACCATTAAGGTTTTGCCAAGTGGGCTGACACTTGGCAATCAATAGCCGTCATTTTAGTGAATATATCGCTTTTACTGAATGAGCTGGTCCTCAGAACACACCAAAATCCTACCTCTTCTCTACCTATCCAAGTCATAGAGCTTGCCCGAATTCATGCCTCTTTTTCTTGTTTACTATACAACCATACATAATATACGGCTAAAGGAAGCCCATCTATCAAACTGAGGAGTTTTCCGCTGCTAACATTTTCACAATTGCGGCCGAGCTCCTCAAAAGATGCATATGTGCACAAATGCATGGTTTTTGGTGCTAACTCATAAATGTGATTTTAGTAGCGATTTCAAAATTTGCCCCTTTAGCAATATTCCGTCAATATTCTGTACAAAGACTTTCGAAAAATCTTTTAATTTGTTCAATCTATCTGCTATCTTCTGCAATATGGAACAGAAAATAAATGTTTTAAATTGTTCATGTTTAGTAGTCGATATGTGTCAACCAGTTTGATTTTGAATAGGTTTCTGTGATATGGCATCTTTCGCTGGTGGTGGACGTGTGGATAGTGGTACTTCGTTAGAAGTGGGTTTCTTTTTTTATCATACTTTAGGCCCTTGCTGATGTATTTAAATGTTTCATCTGTATGGAACAACTGGATAATGCACACATGTGTCCACATTGCTCTAAGTTGTGCTGTTTTGAGTGCATTTGTGTAAGTTCCCTGTTGGTTTCCAAAGGCATTGGTTTAGAAATGGATCACTGAAAACAAAGCTCAGTGTCCCCACTGCAGGTACTTTTGGTGGTGGTTCTACATCTGATTTTGTTTTTCACCAGCTATTTACATTCGGTCTTAATTTTTTTTCGATGACGCCGTGTTTGTACCGGTTTTTAGGCGGACACTGTATACGCATGCTCTCATTAACTGCAGATGGGCTGATGATGTTATCCAGCAGTTAGACCGTTTAAAGAATAATGATGACAATCTGGCAATCAAAGCTCCAGATTCCAATGCAGATCTGTGCGTTATTATTGGTCGAATCCGATAAGCCATAACGTTAACGCGTCTATCACTATACATTTGTTGTAGGTGCGAGTCTCACAACGAACGATTGACTGTTTACTGTGCCACCTGTGATCGTGTTATCTGTCATCGCTGTGCTCTCTTTGACGGTCGCCATGGCCAGCACTCTTTCCGCCCCTTGGATGAGGTATATCAAGAACACGTGGATGCTATTAGACGTGAAATGGTCAAGCTTAAGAACCGGCGCAATGAGGTCCAGCGCCTTATCGAAGACGTGGTATGCTTTGTGGGTGTTTTATTTATGAATAACCAAATACCAAGAGGCTTGTTCTTTTTTTGGGTCCATTGCTGCTATCACTCAGAATTGGATGGTTTTAGGGCGACAACATCCTGATACTTAACGCAAGGAAGGAGAGCCGTGTTGAAGAGATCAAAAAAATTGTTGAATCAATCATCTTTCGTCTAGAATCGCGCCATACTTCCAAGTTGTCCACTCTGACTGCTCAACGCAATCACCTGACGCAGGTTACTGCTTTATCTCTTACTTCTCATTATCGCGACACATTTTCTGAGTTGTGGTGGTAGTCTCTCCCCCACGATCTACCTGCAATGGTCCAGCGCTGCCTATCTCTGTTGGACTTTTTGACCCATCCAGAATGTGGACTTCTTTTATTCTGCCTAGGAGACGGAGTTACTGAACTCCCTGCTGAACGAGGTTGAAGCCCAACTGAACTCGACGTCTCCTGCAAATCTCATTTTTCGGTCTCCTGCTCTTTCGGCAATGTTTGCTGAAGTTCATAAAACTCCCATGCCTTCCGTCAACTGTGACTATAGCCCTTATGACTTCGCAAGGTATATTGGCCTTTGATTTTTGTTTTACTTCATTGCTTTTTGTTGCTATACCTTGCTTCTAGTCAGAAAATTTGCCTTGTAAAATCACATTTTGTTCTTAAAATTTCATATTTGATACTTTTAATGCTGGAACGACCTGAAGAGCTCTTGAGATTCATTGACCTTTTTTGTGAACAAATGTTTAAAATCGCTAGTCTTACGGCATTTCGAGAATTTCACCCATAGTTAATAACCACTTTTAAGGCTATTCAGTCTAGTCTCGTCCACTTTTTGCGCTCATGATTTGTAACCTATTCATTTTGAATAGTCCTTGTTTTTGCCACGGGTTGCACGGGTTTCTGGTTTTTAAGTGCTGCAATTCGCTTCACCTGCGTGCAAGTTATGTTGTGCCGAGCATGGCAATCCTGCTTGTCAGTGTTTTCAAAATATGCATTTTAGCGAACTCGTACCACCATATGCGACAGGTGAGTTTGTAATCCACGGATTTAGCCGCGTGCGACAGCGAGCTGAGCCCATTTACAGCCCTCCGTTGGAGTGTGGAGCTTTGAAATGGCGACTCAAAGTATACCCCAACGGTAACGGCATCGTCCGTGGTCAATATCTATCTGTCTTTCTCGAAATGACCTCTGGTAGAAGAGAACCGTCGAAGTACGTTAAGTGGACAGTTTATCATCGTACATAAATTCATTTTACCCAATTTCGAGAATTCTCTTATCGCGTACACTTGACAATTGCTGGTTTTTTAATGCTAATCTCGCCCCCTTTTGGCAATATTTTTTCAAAAGGTACGAATATTACATTCAGTTAATCCATCAGGGTCCCCCACAAGACAGCGCAAAGTGCATCGCACGTGAATTTGCATCTGACTTTGCCGTTGGTGAATGCTGGGGTTACAACCGCTTTATCCGCCTAGATCTTCTTGATAGCGAAGGCTACATCTCCTCCATAGAAGACTGCCTGTGCTTCAACTATATGGTACACAAGATCTGTGCTTGGTACATTTTTGCCTTGGCAATTGCTTATTCATGAAATATCATGTCCTGTAGGTTCGTCCTCAGACCTATCAGCAACAATGCCGTGACTATTTGTGGCATATTACACAGCTGGAAGATCAGAAGGAGAAATTGCAGGAACACGTACGGAGACTGGACACCCAGCTGCGTAGACAAAGGTGCTTTTCCGCATCCACTTTTACTAATGCCGTGCCGAACGAACAATCAGCATCGCTTTTACTAGGGGATTCTCAAGGCCTCAGCATTGTAGGTGAAGGTGACTGTGGCGATGCTCTTCATTCTTCTGTCGCCTCGGAGCGTTGTCGTGCTCCTACTCCCGCCTCAGCCGTCGCCCACCCCGCCACGGTAAGAATTGCGGCTTTTTTCATGTGGCTTACTATTCTGCCATAATTCTTAATGCTATATCAACACTCGCTTTGATTGAATTGCCTAGGTGTTACTTGCAACTTACTGCACATTGGTGGATCTTTGGACGCGCATGTAATTAAAACGTCGTATTGCAGTCACGTGCCTAGTTGTTCATTTTGAGCCATAATGCTTTTGTTGGCAGCCCTCGGAAATCAGTGAGAAGGAAATAAGCGAAGAAGAAAGTGCTGCTTCGACTTCTGCGCCGCTCAGTGCTCATGAGGGTGCAGCACACGAGGCAGAACCTCATGTGGAAAGCGATGGAGTTAATGAATTTGATAGCGACACTGATGTTGATAGTGAAGGCTGTGAGAGCGATGTGGGAGCCTTTGTGCTCGATTTGTCGGATGAGGTTCGCTCCCAGGAAGAGGAGGAGGACGAAGCAGCCGACGTGATGCCAATGGATGAGGGAGAGAGGCCTGAACCTCTCGCAGTTGCGAATCTGGAGCATCAACGAAGGGATCAGGATTCTGCCGAGAATGGTGCGGATCATTCGCTTGGCGCACACTCCACCGTAGTGGACACCGATTTTGTCACAGTGCCACAGAGCAACGTTAGCAACAACTTTGGCGAAGGCACTGACAACCAGTATGACAACTTTTCTCCTTAAAGTCTCGTACTTCGGTTTTTCTTAAATGCAACACCTGAACTAGCCTATTATTTCAGCCCTATCAATATTTGATCGTTATGCGCCAAAAAGATTGTATATTTATTAATTTTAACCGCCACTGAGTTCAGAACTCTGTAATACCTACTTTTAGAAACGCCAAAATATATGCTCTTTGGTAAAATCAAGTACTTTCTCTTCTTCCCTTCACTAAGTCATGACTTGTCACCGGATTCGTCAGCTGAAGCCTAGAAATTTCAAACCTTTGCGTTGCATATAACTTCGCCGTAACTTTGTCATACTACTGTTAGATTATTGCAAGGAAGAACAGTTCAGAGGTTGACGCGCAAATTTTGGTTAGATTCGGAATGTTTGATGTTGACATCAGCGTTACAACTCGATTCCCTCCACGCGTCCTCAAACTTCTTTGCGGCGTAGATGGGATGGTAATCTGACTATTTGCATGATTCCCTATGCCTCCTAGTTCGCCTGTGCGCTACAATATGAGGCAACTCTTCTACTACTACCTGAAGATCGCGCCACACTGCATTTCCAGTGGGAGTAGCACGAGCATTTCATCCATGCGAGCAGCTGAATGTACGGAACAGCTTCTCCAAAGTATATCGGCTAGATTATCTGCAGTTGAGCAGGACAATGTGGGAGATGGAAGAGGAACGAACACTGAGGCGGTGCAGCTAGGCATTAACCGTACTGAGGATGAATACCGACCTGAGGTTCTCTACGGTCTTCTGCAAAACCTTCAGAAACTTAAACTATTAAGGTCTAATAATGATTTCTTCTCTAATACCGACGTCGACAAGGATACTGCGTTTCTCGACTTATTTGGTGACGTCTCCCCAAGGCAACGTCCCGATGGTGAAGATGACGATCGGACGCTGGCCGACGGCGATAGTCAGTCATGGGGACAGAGACCTGTCTCATCCTTGAGGCTAGCAGGGTCCACAGTTACGCCTTGTTCAACTAGTGGCAGCCAAGCTCAACTAGAGACGTATGTGTACCTACTTCGCTTTCTAGACTTGATTTGGAGTCTCATGCCAATAGAGGCCTGAAATCATCCGACTATTTTGTGCTTGGCTTGTCAGTTGAGGTAGAATGATTTATGCTTTTCAATGGTAATCGCTGCTGTAGTTGAGCCAAAGTGAAACCCACTTCTTTTTTTCAAGTGATCTGCTTTTATCTGATTCGCTGCCGTCCAACCATGGTCCATTTGCGGGTTGTCCAAGTAAGCTTTTTTCTGTCTTCTCAGTTGCCGAAATGTTTTGTGCTCAGTGTCCTGCGCACTCAGGAATGTGGTCCTGCTTTTACCTTACGCAGATTCAATGCACCTCTCCGTATCCCCACCGTCTACTTCTCTCTTCGTGGGTGCATGCGTAAATCTGGATATTATCCGCAAACGGGTTCGTGAAATTCACTGTGGGTCTGCCACTCATGCCTCCTTTACGGCTGATCCCACATCGAACCAGTCTAGTGGAGCGGGAGGCAGAGGTCAGCGACCGTCAATTTCTGCTGGTGATACCATACGTACGGACGTGGGCACGGGGTTCCGTGGTGACAGCCTTAAAACGCAACGTGCAGAGTAATTCAATTGACAATTATCTGTTCGTAGTAGCGGATTTAAACAAAACGTTGACAACTTTATATTTATCCACGCTGATATCGTCCTTGCAGCAAAAGCTGTAATAATTGGGCATAAAAAGGGGGTGGGAACCATTACAGGCATTGAACGTTTACCAGTCATCTCGGAAAAGAGCCCTAGGGATTGACGACGCCATCGTGCACTTTAGAAGCTATATGGCTTGTTTTTTTTCGATTTGAAGACATTCGAGAGTCGCAACTGAAACGGGGAAAATTTTAATGCACGGGGTGTAGCGAGGACTCGCGTTTGGATGATGAAAACCACTTACTTTATTGTGCTTCTTCAGTTTGACACCGGGTGCGGATGTGAATAGTGTGTCCCCAGCACCGGTCTTGCGTCCCCTCACCTTGCCGAATTTGCCTCTGATGCTGTGATTGGGCTGTGGCAGAGCAACGCCTTCCGTGCTCGTTACTTCAGCCCTGCTCAGCACGCTCAAGCTAGTACTGGAACGCAGAGGTGGCGGCGTGACATCGAGATCGCAGAGCTTCTGAGCAGACTGAAAACGGGCCAGTTTGGCTACGGTCGGGCGAGATGTAGAGGTGTATCTCGCCTGAGTGCGGTCGACGTTCGATCGCCTTCCTTCTGACTTTACCGATCCGCCACAGGCTCCAATCTATTAACCAATAACCACGTTCAGATAGATTGTGCGCCAACTTACAAATGTGGACTGGCGGTGAATTTTGTGTAGCCCTTACATTAGGAGAAGGCTTCTGTGAAGAGGAGAGTGATAGAGAGGTGTTCGTTTGGTTTGCTCCGCGCAGTGCACACAGCTCGAACTTAGACGCGTCTCTTATTCGAAAAGTGCCCCTTGGTTTGATAATTCCAGGAATGAGGCTCAGGTCTGCATCAATACTCATCGGTTTGGGACTTATCTAAGTTGGAAGCAGGCAGAGATGACGACGAACTTCATAACATTTACTGATGAAAGAGTAAGAGAAACAGTACCTGGTTCTGGGATTTGGGAGGCACGACGACGATGAGGTTACTGCTGCATGGGGTTCCATCCACGAACGAGCTTAGGGCGTCTACAATGTTCGATATATTTTGGAATACTTAGAACAGCATTAAGGCGTGTAATCGCAAGCGAATAGGAGGTTGCATTGCATGGCTACCTCTAGGGATAGCTTTTTCCTCAAGGCAGCTTGCAGTCATTTCTGTGTCCGTCTCCTCCTCCATTGAAGCAACCAGTAGACGCCGAAGGCGGCGATAATGAAATTCAAACGGAGTTGGAACTGTGAATATTCTATTTCCACGCAGAGCCTGCGGGCTAAGCGGGGCCGCACATTCGCTATACGGTGGCCAACCCTCCAGTTCGGAAATCATGTCGGTGTCAGTGTTGCTCGTTCCGTCGCTTGAGGCTTTTAGAGGTACAACAAATGGATAGCTTTTTTGTCGAAATTACAGCAAAAAGCAAGCAAGGAGGACTCTAACCTGAGGCACATCTTGGTAGTCCCACTGTTTCGGCAACATAGACTGCTTTTGTAGTCAGGGTAACATTATTCAACGGTGGTTGCTCAGATACTTGTGGAACGATTGGACTGACCATGGACCAACTATTCTCCATGAAAGCATCCGTCTCCTGGTCAAATAACGCGATGGACAGGGCGAGGTCTTTGTTATGAATGATGTGCAGCGAGGTGGATGAAGAGGAGGTAGAACTTCCGCTCCCAGCAGCAAAACCCTTCTCCTCCTCCGAACACGAAGTAACGATGGGTTCTTGAGTTTCACGTCTTGAGAGCTCGTTTTGTAGACAAACAGCCTCTAAAAGCATATGAAACCCGAAATTGATTCGCTGTGGTGAAGGTTGGACGCCACTTGAAAATGCCATTCATCAACACAAAAATCTGCTTACCAATCAAACATATGAAGGGGTTTTATACAAGAATGAATAAACGCAGCAGTCAAATGAAAGGATAGATGGAGCGGTTTCAGAAATCGTTTGAACATGTTAATCTCGCGTTTTGTAATTAATTGACAATGAATTGGATGGTACATTACCATCATCCTCAAGTGTTACGAGAGCCGCATCCTGGTGAGGCAAGGGCAACGCATCCCCAAATAGCGGTGACTGCGTAAATGTTCTTTCATTCTGAAAAAAACAAGCATGCACAACCCTGTATCGACTTAAGTGTATGCAATGACTTGGCAACCCACTCCGAAATGTAGTGTGCAGGGACGTCTCCTTTCTCCCACTGGACTACACGTATTGATATCACTTCGCAGCTGCTCACAATGGCAGCGCCTGTTAAGCAAACTACGGGAAGCTGAAATATCGGAGTGCCTTCTCGTCAGAGGAAGGGCAGGTAACCCGCCCGCAGTTGTGGTAGTGAGGGCAGCTCCCGAATTCAGTTTATCATGCGATAGATGGTACGAAGTGTCGAAGCCTACAATGGTGGAATGAACTCCGTTAGTGGCGCTGCTTTTCTGTCGGAAAAATCAACTAAACAGAGGTATCTAAATCTAGTTTCTATGACATTGGCGCATTTTCATAGACCAGGACATCAAGATTATCGATTTAGTGGTTAGGCAACAATATACATGTTGTATGGGACTGATCATACTTCTTTTGCCTTCAATAAGTGAAGTACTAGAGTCTATCAATGCAAGACGTCTCTTCGCTTCGTCTTGAGCCACCTTGGAATTCAGGTATTTAAGGAAAGTTGACGTCTCCATTTCCTGAGCCTTCTTACGCTGAGCATCGAGCTGATAGAGTTGGTGCTGGAGACCACTTATTATGGTTGCCTTTTCATTCAGAGCCCCTTCCAACTGGCGACAGCGCACTGCTTCCGCCGCCATGCGCTCTTCACAAGCCAGTCGTTCCGTTGTTGTGGAGTCTAGCCGCAGCTGAAGCCCCTAAAACATGGCGAAACAAGTAATAAAGAGCTAGTAGAGACAGCATCGGCAATGGATCCCCTCCCACCTCGATAAATTTGATGAGACGGGAGCACTCATTCTCCGCAAACTGACGGTGTAAGATAGCAACAGAGGCGGCTTGGCGTGCTTCGGCCAAGCCCTGCTCAGTAGTTAGTAAATTGGTTCGAAGGCGCTTCAGATTCTCCTCCAGCACATTTTTATCTTCTTCACATTGCGTCCGCACTGCCATCACCTGCACATACTGTCGTCGCATCTCGCTAATCTGATTCTCTAGTTGCGACCGGTCTGATTTCATCGTTGCTAAGGTCTCAATGAGCTTCGCGTTACTTCCTACCAGTCGTTTCTGATCTGCCGTCACCAGCGCCAGCTAAACATCAACAGCAATTTCAAAGTAATCTCCCAAAAAATGGTGCAGGTAACAGTCGACGAGGGCATTCAAAAAATATCTAACTGATTATTTGGAATTGGAATTTCCTCACCCAAGTCCAAAAATTGGGACTTACCTGATCCCGTAAATCAGCCAGTTCGATTTCCATTTTTATTGACTCCTTGATGCGAGTCTCTAACTTTTCGGTCACGGTTGACTTTTCATCGTAAACCTCAACAATATTCCGCTGGTAATTTTCTAAATCTAATTTTAATTTTGCAACCTCCGTTGTCAGAGCATCATTCTCGTCACGTAAATTGGTCACAAGAGAAGATTCTTCGTCGATAGCCTGTTTGAGGACTGCTTTTTCACCTGCCAACTTAGCATTATCATCGATCAAACACTGATTTGCTTTCGATAAACGAGCAATCTCCTCCAGTGCTGACGAGACTTGCTGCTGCAAATGAAGAAGCTCCTGATCCTTTGCCGTACATTTATTGCTCAGATCCTCATTCTCTCCTGTGAGTTTCACTAAGTCTCTTTCTAATGCTTCCGTGTGTTTGTGAATACGATTTTTCTCATCTGTCATTTCCTGAGTACGCTTATCATAGTCCTTTTTTGTTTTGTCTCGCTCCTCAACTAACAGAGTACATGTAGAAGTTTGTGCCTCTAAGTCAACTTTTAAAGCACAGGAAATTTTCTCGAGGTGGTTCCTTTCTTCTGTCAAACGAGAAATGACAGCATCATTTTCACAAATCAATTGGTTCAGCGATGCAATATTGGCATCGCGAGTCCTAAGGGACGACTCCAATTGTTCAATCCGCATACCATTGTCACTGGTTTCGTTGAGTTCATTCGATAAGCGGGCAACCTCCTTCCAGGCTTGAGAGAGTTCAGACTTAACCTTCGATACTTCTTTGTTGGCTGCAGTCCTAGCTTCTATCAACTGTGCACGTTCCATTTTTAAGTGCTCCACAAGGCTTATTTTCTCCTCTAACTCAGCAACTACCTCCCGCATCTTAGCGCCGAAGTCGTCTGCCGAAAGTGCTGTATCAGGGAGCATAACCTTGTCACCACCCGGCCTCCTCCCTTCCTGCAGCCAATACAACCGGGAAGAAAGTTCGATTCTAAGAGACTCATCGGACTTAAGTTGATTTTGAGTCTCGGATAACTGCCTCGTCAAATCATCAATTTTCACTTCCAGGACGGCAATTGTTTCCTTATTCCCACTTGACAGTTCTCGCATTTCCGCTTGTGCAGCATTCAACTGTCCCTCAAGTCCTCGATTTACTTCTTCTAACTCCTTCTCCTTTTCAAGAAAATGGATTGATTCGCACTCTAAACGTTTCACTTTATCTCTAAGATCAACTTTTTCCACCTCGGATTCGTCCAATTCGTGCAAAACACGATCGAGCTCATCCTTAAGCTGGCTCGACTTAGTTTCCATTGCCGTCAGTTCCGATGTTTTAGCCTTCAGCTGCAACGAAAAGGTCGATATTTCACTCCTCATCATTTCAAGAACAACACACTTCTCCTCCAGATCAGTAAGGAGGGCTTCCTTCTCCAAATTCAGACCTCGCATCTGCTCATCTAGATTTTCCCGCTCTAATTTGCACTTGCTTGAAAGGTCTGCATACCGGGTTGAGACCTGAGAGAGTTCAACATTGAGGCGATCCATCTACAAGCCATAAGCATTTTCACAATAGGGCAACGTGAGTAGTGAAAGATTTGTATTCAGGCAAGCAAGATAATGCTTTTACCAAACGATTAAGCTCAAGAATAATAAGATAGTGATCTTCGAAAAGAAAGCAAATTGGAGAATAAAAACCCACCTCATTACGAGCAACATTCAACTGGTTTTGCAAATCCTGAATTTTGATGTCGTGAGCCATTATCTCCCCTAGGCACTCCAGTGTGACATCAGATTGGGTTGAACCTAATAGTTTCATGAGCGTACCGACAACATTAATCTAAGAAAGTGCTTTAGCTAACACTGTTTCAAAACCAATGTGCCTACTTGTGCGAGTGTCTCGCCAAAGCGACACATCAACAACAGAAATCTCATCCATGTTCTGTGTAGATTCGGGAAGCTGAAGGGGAGATACGGTGCTGCAGGAGTCGCCAGCGCCGACAATGGAGTTGGAGAGAGGCCCCAAATCCTCGCCGTTCTTTGACACCCGAAAGGTAGTGTGGTGGCAAGTGCACGTGCACCGTGCACGAGAAATCGTCGCCCACTGTGGAGAATGAGGATGATTTCGTTGAGAATCCATAAGCTCCATCTCCGACACCGCCTTGGTACGCTCGCTCTCCTTCACAAACTCGAAGAGCTTAGAAGATAAACGTTCGTGCGTCGGTGGAATTGGCAAAATGCGAACAGAAACAAAAAATAAGCGACATAAAGAACACACCTCCTTTTCTGCTTTTTCAAGGGCATCCTTAACCTGCTCGTATTGCACTTTCCACTCCCTATTAGTTTTCCATTTGGAAACTTCTGTCTCAAGCAACCTAATCTAAATAAGTGGAAAATAAAAGCCACTCGCAAATAAAAAAAGGGGCGCACACAAATCGTACTCTGTTATTAAAGGTAATATTCTTCTTGATCAACTCGGCATTTTCCTTTTGCAAAACCTCAACGGACTCATTAGTTTCTTGAGAACTTTTAAGTGCAGCTTTCAAACTAAAAAAGATTACATGGAGTTAGCAAAAGGTTTATGAAATTTCCGCAAAAATATAGCGAACCGTTCAAATTCCTCCTTCAATTTTTCACTGTCCATTTGAGAAGCACGCAAGTCATTGAATGCGTCCTGAAGTTCAATTAGTTCTCTATCTTTTGCGCGACACTTTTCATCGAGTGAGGATATCATCCTCTCTTGTTCAAGTTTGATTTGTAGAATTTCCTGCTTCTCACTTTCACAATCATCACAGAAATTTTCCAGCTCGCTTACTTTGAGTGTTAGCTTACGTATTTCACACAGAAGCTTCTATCAGAACGTGGTAAGCAGCAATGAAATCCACAGGCAAACTTTTTGTGCTGAGTCCGGGGACTCAATAGTATTTTGGTTCAGACAAAGGGAGAAATCAATGTCATCGCCTTCATTAAAGCTTCCAGAGGCAGGCGTAGGAGTACCACATAATTTATTCACTTCACGAGGCATTCCTCAAAACGCAAACATTTAAATTTGTAGGCAAACACTAGCAATATAGGCATAGGACCAGAAATTTTGACTAAGCAAACAGGATACACGAGACCTAAGGCTAACAACAAAGCGAAAACATTGAGCACGGGATGTAGTAACTAAGTGAGAGTACCGCATATATACTAAAATCCAAAACCTACGACTTATCAACGACAAGAGTCGAAACCGCAAACTTGAGAACGAACCAAGACAAGCCCGAACTGACAAAACCGATGCGTTAAAACAATTGTAAAACAAAAGATATTTGTGCATATAAAGCAATGAAGTCGTTACTAACGAATTGAGTTTCACAACTTAAAAGTAAAGAATTATTATAGATAAAAAAGTAGACTAACAAAGTGACACTAGGTAAGAATTACGTTACGAAAACAAATATAGTGACGGGAATGAGCAAGGCTACTACTAACAAATGCCCTAAATTTTACAGATTTTTTTATTTTAATACGCACTTTGCTTGCATGGTTCACTGAAATTTTGCAGCTTAACAAAAGGCATTAATTTTTGCTAAATACTTTTATCCAGGAAGTAGATTAATTTGGATTCGACTTTACCTGATGACCAGCCTACAAAGCAAAGGATGAGAAGTAAAGCAACATCTAACACTTCATATACTATTTGTAGAAAAACAATTTCCTAGCCTTTTAACTCAAGGAACAATGACTTCTATATACTTTTTGTGCATATCACTCAACATGAGACAGTTTTGACTAGATCTCTATCTACATTCCGCTCCAAAAATAAAAATTTTTTGAGCTAGCTTCTGTTGACAAAAATTCTCCTTAATAGCAAGTTATTAAAACAGTAGCTTGGGAAACAGTATCAGTTGCGATATCATATAGAACGAAATTTTAGTATAGTAACTTTAGGGTCCCGGGACTTCCCACTGGTCAAAAGAACGCAGTAAATGAAGTAGGGTAGATGCATTCCAAAGAGGACAAAGCTGATGGCCCTGAGCGTGGCCCGAAGGCCAGCCCACGAGTACAAGTGTCAGATAAATTCTGAAGGAGCCGTTAAACTTCAAATAGTCACATAAGCAAAGCATTACAATACCTGTATGCCGCTTCAGTACGATGAATACTGAAAAATTCTTTTCTAACTGGTTCGCGCCTGCACCGCTTAAGTTATTAGTAGTTGGTGCGAATCCACGAATCTGGATATACGTCGACCTGAATTTTTTGCTGTTTTAAAGCCAAAATTCTTTGTCTGAGGCGCTTGCATTTCAATATATTAATGAGGATTGACACAAGCGGTGCAAAACGTAGAGCCTCGAGTCTTCCCACAGTTTAAGGAAAAGACATCACAATTAGCAAAATTCATGAATTTCAAGTGTAAGTTTTTTGAAACATATTCTAATAAATTTAAGTTTCCTCTATGCCAAATCTGCTTTACAACTCATCTATACTTCCCATTTCTGTTATTTCTGTACAGAATTCCAAATAAGGTTTTCGTAACTAACCTATTCCCCGAAGTTGGAGGTTCGAGGGCATGAAAGTAGGCAAGCAGGCTCTACAAGCAGAGCCTTGGCGTGGTCCGAAGGTCAGCCCGCGTGTCATAAAAGCCAAATTATTACACAAACCAACTTTAGGTCGTAACATGATCGTAACATAGTCGGATTCGCCTTCCGGTGCCGCAAGTGCAACTGACCGATGTAGCGTCCTGAAACCTCCTGACCGGTATAAGGAGTCAGTAGGTGCAGTTTGATACATGTATTCTGAAGAAGACAGAACAAATGGTAGCCACATAAACTAGGTATTACAACAGATACATTCCATTATTGGTAAGAATGCATCGACTATGGTGAAGTAATTACATTTAGAGAGGGGGAGGAGGGAGAGGCTAGGCTGTATTTTGTTTATTAATTCACTATATGGTGGGTTAACTTATCATTATTTCCACAGTAGCATTTGCTTGCCTGCAGACAACACTAAGCCACAGCAACATCATTTTATCTGGGAACAAAATTGAGAGCAGTAGTTAATTTCGGCTATAACCTAATACGAAGTCTAGAGAACACGGTAGGCTATTGCCTGTTGGACAAAACCTAACGTTTCTATTTGGCATGTCAACTAAGGTTGACATTAACGACCCATGCACTTCTTCCATAAGATAGTAGATTGTCACAGAATAAATATTGGGAAAAAACACCCGTAATGTCCTTCCAAATTATCAATCATTTGTCTTCCACTACTAATGATGATACACACCAGCAGCAAATGGAGGCTTTTTGTCGATAAGACATCAGATGCGTGAACAAGTGAACCATGGATGCTTCCTTACAGAACCCAAGGGTGCATGTAACGCGGAAAGGAAGTTTCTTGATAAATTGTCCCCTTATCCAGCACTTAAAGGGATGAAAGAGGCAGACCCAGATTTTCACAATTAAGGTTTTGCCAAGTAGGCTGACACATGTATCAATAGCCGTAATTTTAGTGAATATATCGCTTTTACTGAATGAGCTGATCCTCAGATCACACCAAAACCCTACCTCTTCTCTACCTATATAAGCCATATGGCTACTATTATCGAGTGTGAAGGCGTGGCAAGCCACACTGGTCAATGTTAGTGGAACTAGAACGTACTGCATCATGGGAAATGTTTTCGATGGCGTAAATTCACCTGGCTTAGGTCTTTGATTTATTACGTAGTGTATTATAAATTTAGTATACTGGAAATGCGTTGTTGTCATAGGTTGAACGAATAATATACTTTTGAGATTTGAGTTTTTTTCAATTCGAAATCACAAGTATGAGCACACTTGGTGTCCTGAAATGTTTAATCAACATTAGGACTTTGTGTTACTTTGCCATGGCAAAGTCAACTTTTCTAATTCCTGGCACGTAAAATAGTTGATTATTGGCAAATTTTTGTTTATATTTTTCATACTTTCACACTCCATTGTTGTTAGGGCGGTTTTCTTGTAAAGTATTAGGCTTTCTGGTCTTGGGTTGTTAGTGCTTCATCAATTTTAATTTTCCTTGTAACAACGTGATTTGGGATGTGTTCCTTTTTTGCAGAATGAATACAAAGTTTTCAAGAACAGACAAACCGAAAGGGAAGTTTGCACAGTCGAATATTAACTTGGTTTACAGAGGAAATGCCAGTGAAGTTCAGTCGAAACCTAGTAAGTGTTTCCTTTGCGGAGCTTTCGTTTTGAATAGTATCTCATAACTAAACACTATAAGAGCTTTTTTGAAGCCCTTGAATTCCCCTTTGTGTTGGATATTTGCAAATATATGGTGATGAACTATCGCACCTTACATAATCCTACTTGAATAAATTGTGCCTGTTAACGTCCTTCTTTGATCTTTAAGCTCTTCGAAGTGGTGGACTTCAAATTGTTGGTAAACTGCAGGGCACTAGGCGTAATCCCCCACCGCCTCCCTGGGTGCCGAGTATCAAAGCTGAAATGGGTGGTCAGGATACGAAGGTAAACATAGTCCCCCCGGGGGGCTCTGGTTGGGGGACTGGATCCTCCACAAATACGGTTTTGGAGAACCCGCCTAAGAGTGATCCGAAGACATGCTCCAGTACCGCTTCTGTCTTCGAGTCCGTTTCTGAATCCACAGGGAAGGACAACGATGCATCAAAGGGCCCAAATTACACTGATTCTTTTCAATCTACTCTGGTCAAGCCGCCGCAAAAACGTAATTTTGCGTAATTCATTTTTACATGGTCTGGAAATGTATTTCTCATACTGTTCTATGTTGTTTAGCTTTCTTTGCTCCACGTTCCTCGAAGAATGTTTCAGGGAAACCGCGAAATGACGGCTCTCCGGATATTAGCCGGCCGCTTACTTCGAAGATGGCAGGACCTACGATCCCATTTTATCAGCGTCCTACCACAGTTAGTATTACTTGATGTCCGCGTTTCACTAGGGGATAGTTTTCATTTCTTTTAATCTTTAGTCACTATCGAACTCTGTTACCCCCAAAGATTCTGAGCTTGCAGAATCTAGCGCTGACGAGAAGCCAGTTGAAGCCAAGGTTGGATCGAATGAAATTGTAGCTCCTCGTACCGGTTGGGCGGCTGTAACGACGGAAGAACCAGATTTCCAGGAGCGCATTAATTTCAGCGATGGTGAAGAGGACGTATCAAAGGCGTCTGCGGCTGAAGTATCTAATGAGCTTCCCAAGACGTCGATTGTATCAGTCACTTCGTGGTCGTCATCATCTATTCAACCTGCACTCCCGGCGCAGGTTCCCTACCCTCGGGCTGCATGGGATCAGTCTCATTGTTTCACTCCCGTGTCCCCAATGCAACACGCTTTTAATGCATCCTTCTGTAATCCAAACGAAGGCATATTTGCGGAATCTTCTCCCATTCCTGGCACTCGTCCGGACGTGCTTCCTAGTCGGGAAGTCGCTCTATTGTCGGAGCAGCTTCAGCGGACATCTTTTGCTACCTCTGAGGCCCAGGTGCAGGCTCAGCGTGAGGAGCGGACGTTGGCCTTTAAGTCAGCTGTAAGTAGGGCACAGATGGCGAGAAAGAAACGTAGCGATGCTGAGGTTATCGAGTCCAAACGGAAGGATCAGTCCATTGATTCGACGAAGAGCACTCTTACTGACGTTAGCGTTTTCTCTCAATCGATCATGCAATCTGGGACGGCAGCTATGGCGGGTACTCCTACCTTCTCCATGCACGGCCCCGTTAACCATTCTCCCCAGCATCACGCCATCGAACCTGTGATTGCAGCCTTGTACAATAATGGGTTTTCTGGTCTAATGCATTCGGTTGCTTCTGGCAACGGTCACTTGCAGTCTCAAATGAAACCGCAGGCGCAACTAACTGGTACTCTTTCTCCTTCTTCATGGAATTCTGGTTCTTTCTCAGCGAGTAGTCAGCCTCCATTCATGCATCCTCCATATCCGCTCTCTAACTCTCCAAAATTGCCAACCAATCAGGGGTTTTATTTCAAATCTGACCATTTGGCGGTAACTGCATTCAATCAACAGGTAGTTGTTGTATATTTCTCACTGTTGTTTCTGCTAGTCTAATTCAAAGGGTAGTCACGTTCAGGGACTTCAACCTGATCGTCCTATTGAAAGTTCTTTACATTCATACGCAAATACTGCCGGAGAATCATCAATGGTAAATCATCTTCCTTTTCAATCTTCGAAATCCCACATCGCGCAGCATCCTCCTACTTCTCCGACCCTGGAAAAGCGGATGGAAAGTGATTCTAATAAGGAACTGATTGTTTCTTCTTTAACGCGAGCTGTAGCAATTAATAGTCGTCCTCTTCAGATCTCTGCTCATCCAGAAGGCTCGCGCACTGCATTTACACCTCCAGCACCGTCAACAATAGAGGCTTTCCCACCGCAGAATTCACATCCTCAATCTCTGCAGCAGCAGCAGCAGCAGCAGCAGCCACACATTACTCCACTCATGGAAGTTAATCTTTCTGGTAAATGGAGCGAAAAGGATTTCGACACGTTCCCTACTGCGGTGACTTCGCGAGATAATTTTGCTAGGTTCAAATCCAGTCGCGTTGGTTCAAAACATGTTAACGGTATGTTTGAAGATCGCGTCATGGGGTGCTACTTAAATATTCCAACGAACGTTTGATTTTTTTGCCTCTAGACGAAAGGAGTTGCGGCTATCGGTACGCAACGTATAGCAGCAGTGGACGACTGAATCGAGGCCCATCACAAAGGGACGCACTGAAACGTCCGCCTCGAGGAGCATTGGAAATGGATGACAATCGTACTGACGAGCGTCCTGCTGATGAACCTGTTGGCGAAGTCACAGAGGAGCAACAGGGGATTTCGAGACGCCAGCGTCGAGACGAAATTGCTAGCGGCACATTTCCACGCCAACAGCGTCTTAGAGGGTCGAATCGCATGCCTAAGTCAAGTCGTGGTGCTCTCCATGATTATGATGAATTTAAGCAGCAAAATTGTGAATTTGATCGTCAACAAATTTCTTCCTCGCACAATCAGCGAGATAGGTGGAGGAGTGGAGGCAGCGGATGTAAAAACATAAGACAAGGTACTTGGAATTTGTTGTTCTGGTCCTTGTATTTCATTTGACTAACGGTCTAGTAGGTGCGTAGTTGACGCTTCCAATGGTGTAGCAGTACCTGAAGGTTTACTGGACATTAGGGCGATTGACATTGATCTTTGGAGATAGTTTGAATCTGCTTCAAGTTGTAGTATTTTTCCCGCCTTGTATGCGCTTCATGACTGTAATGTAGTCTTGAAGGGTATAGCAGGTTATGCCTTATACACCTAAATCTCTGAGTTTCAGCCGATCGTGTTATCGAGAAGGTGGGCTCTGCTGTATCGTCTAGTAGAGGTAGAAAGACTTTTCCGCGTAGCGGTCCTGGTGACCGACGGTATGCTGGCCATGGTGATGTGTCGAATCTTCGAGGGCACCATCCAAGCCACAGGAAGATCGACGAGATTGCGGAAACTATAAATCTGACCGTACGTGTTGGTTTTTGGAGTTTATCCGCATCAATATTTGGGTAGTATCATTTTGGTTTAAGCTTGGTTGGGATTCCTTGCATATAGCGATCATTTAAGAGAACTGGATTTCTCTTCGTAGTACCATTTCGGCCGTATCATAAAGTTCTACGGTTTCCTATTGTCAAAGCTCTTTTACTACCCATGTCTCCATGCTTTACTGTGGATAGGTCTTTTTTGCGATGATATCGTTTCTTTGTATTCCTAGTCGCAAAAGGATGTGGATGAGGTCGATGCCAATGCGGTATCGGACTCTGAGCAAGGCGCCACAGCTGTGCAGCTGACGAGATCGGACTCCCAACAATTTCACTCGCAAAGGTCGCTGAGGGGAGGTGGTAACAGCGGTCGGCAGCGTAGAGGACAGCATAGTGGTTCTCAAAGGCATCCGCAGCGTCGCGGTCGTACTGATCGAGCAAACACCCGCCGACAAAATAACCGCCGTCATCCAGACGATGACGATGATCACGACTTTAAGGGTGGGCCCTCTAATACCAATGGCACTTCAACTGCTGTTGCTACCAACACCACTTCTAGCGACAGCAATACAGGTAGGGGCGAGGGTAGAGCAAATACGGAGTCAAACGGTAGCACCACCTCTAGTGGTCAACAACCAAGTGGGACTGTCGATGCTGTGCAATCTTGCGAAACCAACGTCTTTGCACCCGCTGCGAAGTCTCGGGGTCATGCGCATTCAAGTAAGCGGTGTAAAATAACTTTGTTTTTCAACATTGTCAAGCCTCGCGACGCGCATGTGTGTTGTCTAGCGGCATGCCCTCCTAGTCTCGAATCTCTGCATGCTGTGGACACCATACCGGCATGCATGTGTCCCGTCAATCGGTGTGTTAGAGAAGGACACATGCTTTATTTTTCTTGCTTACAGTCACATTGGCGAGTGATGTAGAGGTCTGGGAGACTGCCTCGGAAGGTTTCAGTTCCTCTCTGTTGGGGACTTCGCCAGGGTGTTCTTTTGCCGATTGTACAAGCGCATCACCAGCAGCAGGTACTGCAAAAGCAGATGATCATAAAAACCTCGCTGCTGCTGATGATGATTATGAAGAGGGTGAGTGATGTAGCAGGGCTCGCGGTCGCAGGCTTGGCGTGTTCTCCTATCTGGTGTTGTAATTATTTGGGTTACTCTTCAAAATCTCCATTACTTCTCACAGGCGGTTACAGCTACCCTCTCAAAAGAACCTCTCAGCGTCGTCCAACTCCTATGATCACGGGCAAAATCGTCCCCTTAATGTCAATTAATGCAGAGGCCCCACCTTCCTATTGCGACAACCCGAGCTTCCTGGACTCCCCATTGCCGAGTGTTAAGTCACCAATTAATGATGCAGTTCCCAACGGATCTTCTCCAGATGTAAAAGATGGTGAATCTGTTGCTGGGAGCGCTTCCATCTCCAGCGAAGATGGGTTTACGGAGGTGCGTTCTAAGTCCAGTAAAAAGCAGCAAAAGGCAAAGCTGCAGCAAAAAAGTCAGAAATCCTCAATTTCTTCTGACGAGAGGTCTTCATCTGCTAAAACCAAGAAGTGAGTATTACAAATGAGCGTTTGCGAATGTCACTACTTTGACAATGGCTTATATGTTGTTTGATATGTTCTTTTACTATTGAAGGAAAACTGAATCATTTACTGAACCATTTCCAATTTTATTGCTTAGTCGTGATCTCGTTAGGCCGCGCGGTCAGGTGTTGGTATTGTCTAAGGCCGATCAGAAACCCTCAAAGCCTCCCAAAAATGACGAACCGTCTGCAAAAGACAAGCAGCGTTCTGCCTCAACCACAATCACAGCTACTGCTAACTCTAGTCAAACAGTCTCAAAGCATTCGGAATCCGCTGCAAAAAAAATGTCCAATTCTCTCATGCCTCAGCCGGCTAATGCCTGGCTGAAACCACTTCAGGAAACTATTAACGAAAAGGCTGCTGCTGCTGCCGCTATGGCTGCTCAAAGCAGCACAAAATCAATAACCGCTCCATCTGACCCTGCTTCTCCGTCGACAAAAGCGCCCGTATCGACTACCGTATCTTCTTACGCTTGGTCCGTTGTAGTTGGTTCACGGACCACTGCTACCTCAACCAACTGCACCCCTACTGAAAGCGTCTCGGTGCCATTGATGCCTAAGACAAATGAAAAAATAGTTGCTTCAAAGTCTACACAGGTGCGATGCCGTCATTTGAATTTGTTTGTCTACCTTGTATAAACTTTTTGTTTCTAGCTCCATGATTATAGGCTTGTGGCTTGTACCCTCTGCACGTTTAAAGCGTTTTTCTGATAGTCATTATGTAGCTTTTCGAGGAAATTGTTCGCTTTGTTATGGTTTTAATTTTTAGGATTCCACATCGGATCCGTCGACAGTGGCAGTTGCTGGTGCTCAGTCATTAACTATGTCAGCTGATCTCGATTCGAGTGTGATTTCACAGTCAAGACAATCGAAACCTGAGGAAAAGATGTTGCAGGACGAAAGCACAGCTCAGTTGCCCGATTCCTCAGGGGTGTCTGCTACGAGTACCTCAACTGCAGCAGCGACATCAGCCAATGTTTGCAAGGTCAGGCCTCAAAAACAACCGACGACTACCACCATTGTCAACTCTTCCACAGCTTCTGTCGCTCACACACCAAAGCCAGAGCTTGCTTCTTTTCCTATGTCCTCGACTTATTCAGCACATGGCAATACAGTTCTCATTAATACGTCTCAGCTTCGGAGACCTATTGGAGATGTTGGTGACTGGATCAGTAAAACTCATGGAGTCTATACAAGCAATTCATCTTCTGTATTTTTTGATGGTTATGGAAGCAAGAAACTTGAGAACGCTGGAGATTCCTCACTCGGATTGCCTTCTGCTGCTACCGCAGCTGCTGCCTTGTATTTGCAACAACATCAACAGCAACCATTCAGACAAACTTTACATCCCCTCCAGCAACAGCAACCTATGATGGGCTTCGGTTTACCTGATTTAACTATGGTACGCTTTCAGGGTTGCTTTGGTTTTGCATTTCTGTTTTGCGTCTCCTACTTTTTAAACCGCTTCACTTATGCACTTAAAAAGGATTTTGGCATCTCATTTTATGTAGACATGTTGATTATCTGAGCGCCCATAATTGGCTCGGCGTGTCTGCTTTAGCGTCATCAGAATAATCGAATTAATGGCACATGTTCCCAGAACGGAATGGGAACGGACAGCTACTTCACGGTACCCCCATTCGGAGCAGGAAACGCGAGTCAAGCGGGAGGACAGCAGCCACCACCACGCGGCTTGTATCCCCCAGCCCAGCAACGCGGTTTCCCGTCGTGGCAACATCAGCAGCACTCACAACAGGAGGCTGCTGTCATGGCTGCTGCCGCTGTTGCTGGTGCAGTAGCGCCCCAGGCTGCTGCTCTGTGGTCCTCCAACTACACTCCTTCACCTCCACCACCTCATCACCATCCCTCCTATGTTGGTGTTATTGGCGCAGATCGGCCGTCATCGACATCTTCTGTATCGATAACTTCTCGTCTCCAATCAAACAATGCGAGTGCTTCTCTCTACGGCTCCGGGTCAATGCGAGGCGGAGGTAGTGCTACTCCAGGTGTAGGAGGTCCACCCTTCGCTCAGCCGGCTCCTCCACCACCGCCTCCACCTCAAGCTGCTTCTATACCGCCTCCCAGTGGGCTCTATGCCTCATCTCCGACGCATCCAACGCCTCCACCTCCTCTACCGTTTGATCCCAGTGTAAGGTTCCTTGCCTTCATAACTTTTCTCACGTTAACTCTTCGCCATCGGCTTTCCTCTGGGCCTCTCTCAGTTTTCTCACGAGCACAAAGATGGAACATGAGACGAACGGCACTTTCGTGGCATTGCTGCTCATTCTTAATCGGAGTATGATCAAATGTGTCTATATTATTTCTCTTTAGTTTGCTTATACCAGCGGAGGTCTTGCAAATTCGACGAGTGTTTTCTCGCACCAATCGGGAGCTGCAGGGGGTCCTGCATTGCTGGCTGCCCCGCATCGTCAGTCAGCATCTGCTCGATCTCTTGGTGACCATCCTCACACTTCACATCCTCCAGTTTTCATCAATGCTCCCCACGCACCCTTCCCAGCTGCTCCTGCTGCAATTTCCGTTCATGGTCTGGCTGGCCCTCCTACGGCTCCCATGACTACTCCTGGTCTGCACTTTTAAAGCTTCCAACTCTGCGCTCTCTTATGAACCTGATGGTCTTCTGTATTACCTCACATTTGAGAGTGCGTTAGCGGCTCTCGCCGTTCTGGTGCGCCTATCCACTCGCACTTTAGCTACGACCTTTCAGGACCCTCAACAGTCAATTTTCTCATCTCAAACCACCAAACCCGTCTGATATTTCCAACTAACACAATTCTGTGCACGCACCATATTATCCCTATTAGTACACTCTCCCTTCACCGGTTTGCTGTTGGCCACCATTTACGCCTCAATTTTTCCCGATCCTTCTTTCTCTCTAACACTGTTTGTCTGATTAATCTTTATCTTTTTAAACCGAAGAACTTAAAGAATAAGCAATCGTGTCAACGTTCTGTGGTTTGGGGGGGGGGGGGGG